TCAGCATATGTTGGTCCATTTAGTCGTCCTTCAAAGAAATGGGAACCCACAAGTACATCGCCTATTATGCCATCCCAAACATTTACCGAGAACCGATGTTGAAAATAAGTTTCCCTAATCGTGTGAGGATTTTCATCCATACATTAACATAAGCAGGAAAGTCTACTTGATTGGCACATTGCCGTAAAAACCATCTGCAAAAACGCATTCGTCGATCACAATCCGGGGGTAAAATCTGTTGAAATGGTTGCAGATGATAGGGGTGCAACAGCTGGCGCCTTAAGATGCGATGTACGGTACGAGATGAGATTCCTACTTGCTGCGCGAGTCGTCGAATACTAATTGTGGGGTATTCGTCAAGACTTTCCAACACTGCATCTTTAACATTAAGGTTCACTTGCTGACCATGTCCTACTCCTCGAGGAATAACTCTTCCCGTATCTGGCAGCCGCTGAACGCACTGTAGGATTGTATTTGCACATGGGGGGTGACGTTGTGGCCATCGTTCCCGGTACAACCTAGTTGTCGAGAGCGCATTTTCTCCAGCTGCACCATACAGTGACACCATATCGACATGTTCGGAAATAGTAAATGCATTGTTTTCTCGGTTCATTGTAAAACTAGTTTGCGCACACACTAAAAAATTAAGCAAAGTAAGAAATAAGAATCTCGTTTTTAATGTAATCGGCACGCTATTCTTATTTTTTACTTATTTATAAAAAAATACATTATCACTATCGTGGAATTTGGAATTACAAAATAAAAACTTTTGTCTGGAATCTTTTACTTTTTAACACTGATGGACGATGTTTAATATTTAATAATTAAGTGAATAATGAATTCAATACACATACAAAATCAGTTGACTGCACAAATTTTTTGACAATGTAACCTAACCTTTTAGTATTACTAGTATTAGATTATAGTGACATAAATTATAAGGTTGCATTTCGGGTCGCATAAAAACATTTCCAAAGTTTTTAATAAATAACACAGGGTCGGCCTTCATTTTCGTTGAATAAATGAACTTTTACAAAAAAAAAACGCCAAGTGTGAACTTTTTCGTATACGACTTTTCTATTACAAATAGCATCAGGAAGCTGTAGATTAATTTTTATAGATTATACACACCACACCCTGTATATTTGGTAGTATAAAATACAAGGTTATGGTTTTTCACTTTGTTTTGCACTAACATTCGTCATTTGACCTTAGGCGTAGAATTAACCCCCTCGTAGAGGTGGTTGTAGATTTAATTTTCATATATTTCTTTCCAATGCTCAAAATATGTATTTTAAAAAGTTTTTTCAAAGTATTGACAAATTGTTACTTTTTATTATAGACCTTTACCTTATCCTCACTATTTCAACGTATTTTAGGAGATATTTTAGGGTTTTACTAAAAAATGCCCTTGTAGATTAGTTTACAGACTGCGGATTCGGATTTAGCAGTAAAAAAATACACAAGATCTATGTACTCATGTCTCTAATAGCTAATTATTAAACTGGCTGATTGTCAGTGAATCACGTACGTTGTAATCCAATTAATGTAACTCAGGTACAAAGGAAGTTATTCCACCTGAGGTTATCTCTATATTGTTAACCATTATTTAGCTACCATAAATCGATCAGAATTAAGCCAGCAGCCTTATGCAGGTTCCGGAGATAACATTATTACCCATGTTTCCGGCAACCTTCGGGCTAATATCAATTTCTTCCAGTTAATGAAGTTGTTGCAGACGTAAAAGCATGTACTTGTAAATGAAAATGCTATCTATGCCTCAAAGATGTTATAATTTGCTCAGAATAGTGGAAGCAAAAAAAAAAAACAAAGTACGTTTACCCTATTCGTGAGAATAATTATAAGAAAAGATCAGATTAAAATTTAATTTTCTTATTACTATTCTTATAATCACGTGATTCAGTAATTTCAATAATTGTAGTCTACGAAATATAAAAATGTATTTAAAAGTTTGAGGAAATATTCGATTACAGTTATCAGCGATTAGGTACTATTTAAAGTATGATTTATTACTAAATTATTAAATAACTGACGCCGTTCTAATTTGTATTTAAATTATTTGTGTTTATACAGGGTGTTTCTTAAGTAGAGGTAAAAATCCAGGGGCGTACTGTTCAACTACAGCATATCAAAAATTAAAAAAAGAAATCAGTCTTAATTTTTAATTTCTAAATCGCTTGAGATAATTTAACCAAATTCGGTGTGCATATTTAGAGTGACAATAGACATGTAACAAAAAATTACTAGCTTTAGAAACTTACCAGAGGCGAAGGTGTGAGTATCATCGATCATTATTTGCTAAAAAAAATCATCCTATATAATATTACAAATAAAATAGGTCATCATATGCACCATTGTACTATCTTCACTTTCTGTTTCTTTACACTTTTTTGTATTCCAAACCGATTAACAACAAAATTGACTTATTTGATCAAATGCATTTTTACAATTACTTAAATTACTTAAACATATCTTAGGGAGGCCATGCAAAACAATAATAATATGAAGCCGTTATTTTATTTAATATTGTGTAGTGTCAAATTAAGCTTATTTTTAAAAATGCTAAGTTTTAATAATGTTTTATGCATATTCAAATGCTGAAATTGCCAATATGGTTTACATTTAAGGCCTTGCAGATAGAAATGGTACTGAAACTAGGAGAATTTATGTGGAAAGATTTCCAAATTATCCAACTCCAAATTGCTATTCGTAGTTAGCACCTTAAGACCAATGTTTGATGTATTGCTCAAAATTTTATGCCACTGCTAATTTTGTGTAAAGTGTTCAATTGTCTATCGAACTCGCCTCTTGCAAAATTTTGATTAAAGCTACAGTTTTTGAGTAATTTAGGTGTCAACTAATTTTGTCAGAATGAAATAACGTAAACAATAAACAACAAATTTCAGGGTGAAAACGTAATGATAAAAATTGTATAACTGGAAATAATGTAAAATATCATAGTAGGTGCTGGAAGTGACCATCTTGCGATTCGACACACGTTTCTACCCTCCGAGCTAAGGATCTTATTTTTTCAAAAATCCCGGGCGTATTACAAATTGTTCGATAGGCTTGTTGAATTCGTTGCCATCAATCGAATTTACTGGAGTTACGTAAATCAGCACCTTAACATGACCCCAAGTGTGGAAATCCAGAGGATTTAAGTCCGGTGAACGGGAGGGCCACTGGATTGGACCACCACGTCCAATCCACCGTCTAGGGCAGGGGTCGGCAAGTAATTTTAGGTGGGGTCCGGATACTTTTGATATTTTTTAACGAGGTCCAGAAAAAAATTCATATTTCTTACTAATTTTTTATTTTCATTTGCATTAAGAACTCAAAACATACACAATTGTAAAATACTAGAAAAAATGATAAGGGTGGCACTCAAACGTAAAAAATATTTTTTAAATAATTTATTTGAGTAATTTATATTTTCAAAAAATTTTTGGCGGTCCAGTATTTTACCTTCCGCGGTCCGGATCTGGACCGCGGTCCGCCAGTTGCAGACCCTTGGTCTAGGTTATTTCAATCTCTTACTTGTCGAGCGAAATGTGTTGGAGCGCCGTCATGATTGAACCAAAGGCTCCTCCGCACATCCAGTGGTACTTCTAACAAGCTGTTCAAATCATTAATTAAAAAATTAAGGTAAGACTGGCCATCTAGTCTATTTGGTAGCCTAAAAGGAAAAATGAGCGTGTCGCCAATAATGCCAGCATGAACGTTAATTGAAAACTCATGCTGAAAATTTGTTATTCGAATGAAGTGAGGATTTTCGTCGCTCCATAAATGATTATTGTGAAAGTTAATTATTCCTCGTCTCGTAAACGATGCTTCATCTGTGAATAAGATATTGGTGGAAAAATTGGCATTCTCTGCAAGCCTGCCAAGCAGCCATCGTGACCACTCTAGTCTTGGTGGGTAATCCTGAAGTAGTAAATGTTGAAAGTGATAAGGGTGCAATTGTTGTTCGCGAAGTGTTCTCCAAACAGATGACTGTGATATGTTTAAATTTCTAGAAATTTGTCGGGTACTTAACATATTATTTTCTATTGCTGTCAGGACAATTTCCTCAGATTCTGGAGTTCTAGCATAACGCCGTCGTCCAGAATTATTTTTTTTTGCTTTTAATTTACCCATTTCTCTTAATCTTCTATCGATATTATCAAACATTTGCCGATTTGGTGTTCTTCGTGCAGGAAACATTTCTCTGTACCGCCTAACTGCATCACGGGAAACAAAATTCGCTAGCCCATAACATAGATGCATATCTCTTCAAATGAATATTCGTAATTCATACTGTTATTGAAAATACTGAAGTAGCTGAAGTAATTTAAATAACAGTAAAAATGACAAAAAGAAGCTTATAAGCTAGTTTACTTAACTCACTTGTACACTTATTATTGACATTAGACAAGAGACCAATTCAATTGAACATGAAAATAGTGCCCGTTTGATAAAATTATCAGTGGCGTTGAAAATATTTTTAAAAAAGGGTAACATTGACCCCTGTCTCTACGACACTGCTGCTCATAAAATTTTGAGCAGTACATCAAACACTGGTTTTAAGGTGCTAACTACGCATATCAAATTTGAAATAGAAATGTTCAGGCATTTTGGAATTATTGCAGACCATTGTTAAACATTTTTAATTTTACAGAAACTTTGACACCCTATGTTTATTAAGATTTTCGTCTTAATATTTCACGTATTACCTACCCTGGAAGTCTGTCAGCGGTTTTTTGAATCACCCTGTATAATAACGAACAGATAGGGTTTTATAGAGCATTTATTATACAGGGTAATTATTATTATCTTCAAAAGATGTAGAAACATAACGATAATTCTAAAAAATTGTTCTAAAATGCTCATTCTGTCCCCATATCAATTAATTTAGTCGAAAACGGGAAACGTTGGAGTAGATTAAGTAAAGAATTTGCATAGTAATCGGTTTTGTACTATACACTGTCGTATTTATCTAGATATACGTGCTAATAGAGGCTCTGGCAGACGGAGGGGTTAAGATGGGCTTACCGAGAGATCTGGCTTACAGATTAGCTTCCCAAACTGTCCTGGGGGCAGCGCAAATGGTGCGTGATACTAAGGCGCATCCCGGAGTCCTCAAGGATGATGTAACATCGCCCGCTGGATCGACGGCGGCAGGACTGCATTTCCTGGAACAGCAAGGTACCTACATTCATTTTGTCGAACAACAATAGAGAAGTGTCACTCATATTATTTTCTTGAAATTATAGTATCAACTTCAAGCCCTTTATTATAAATATTATACTGTAAGAAAATGACAATGGAATACAATTATTACAAACAAATCGCATACAGGGTGTCTCACGGTGACGGCCCATTATAATTATTTCAGACTACTTTGATTTGAATTTTGAAAATTTGGGATACCGGGTTTTCGGGCATGACCTTCTCAACTAAAATAATGGCGTCCACGTACCACTTCCGGTTATACCGGAAGTCGCCATCAACTTGCTTATTTTAAATTAAACACCCTATATATTATTGCAATTTTGGATTCTACGTGTTATTTTAGTGGACTTTTATGAAGTTTCCCTATTCCTAAAATTAACCGTTTTCGAGATATTTAATTTTTTTCAAAAAAATGGAGAGAAACAGTGACTAGCTTCAAACCATGTGTATTTTATAGTAAGAAAGATAAAGCAAGGTGCTACAAATTTAATGTCGAATTTAGTTAACTTCAAACCTTCATAAGTCGTTTTTTTTTAAACGGAACACCCTGTATGTTTTTCTATATTCTGATACACAATTTTATTCTCTTTCGAACGGTGTCAGGGTTCCCTGTACCTATCTCTTCTAGTTTTTAAATTATCTACAATTTTTTGTGTAATCACCTCAAATCATGTAATTTCTTGCGAGTATAGCTGTGGAATTTTTAGCAAAACTTCAAAACAAACAACTGAACTGTCAATTAATTTGTTGTTAGTCTCTTGCAGTGACAGTTTAATTTAGTGTTCATAAGAAATGGAAAACAATACATATTCAAATGCTGATATTTTAAATTTATTATTCATTCACAGACATTGCAATGGGATTATAAGCAGAACATGTACAGTTTTTAATGAGACACATCCAAATTTGCCACCAATGAGCAGTAAAAAGTTAAGAAGAATTTTAGCAAATCAACTAGAGTATGGTCGAATTTGTGCAGAAAGAATTTTACCAAAACCAATAACTTCAAATAAAGATAATGTAATAAATGTACTAGCCTATTTTAATGTTCATCCAGAATCCTCAACTCGTGCCGCAGAGTATGATTTAGGCATTTCACGAGCGTCCATTCACAGGATGCTAAGAACTAAAGATATGCATCCATACAAATTTAAGCTACTTTCTGCTCTTCATTCGGCTGACGCCGCCGTGCAACGTGTACAATTTTGTGAAACGATGTTACTGCGATACCAAGAAGACCCACAATTTTTGCAACATATTATATGGACAGACGAGTCAAAATTTACGAGAGAAGGTATTTTTATAGTAGTATAGACATAATACTCATTTGTGGCCATCTGAAAATCCTCATGTTACCCGGGAAAGAAACTTTCAAAATAAATTTAGCGTAAATGTTTTTTGTCTAATTAAAGATAACCAAATTTCTTACCATACCTACGAAGAAAATGTAAATGCCAACAGATATCTCAATATTTTGCAAACGGTTGTGTCAGTTTTTCTAGATGATATACCATTAGACCAACTAAGGAAGTGTTGGTATCAATTAGACGGGGCTCCACCTCGCTGTCACAATCAAATCGATCAACAGCTGACTGAAATGTTTGAAGATATACGGATGAGACGCCTAGGACCGTGGAATTGGCCAGTGAGGTCTCCCGACCTCACTCCATTAGATTTTTATGTTTGGGAAGTAATAAAGCAAAAAGTTTATTCTACACCCGCTCTTAGTGCATTATTATTATCAACATACATAATTAAAATTGTGTATTACCTACTATGTATGAAGTTGATTTTTTAGAATTCTTCTTAACTTTATTCCGCTCATTGGTGGAAAATTGGGATAAGTCTCATTAAAAACTGTAAATGTTCTGCTTAGAATACCATTGCAACGTCTGTAAATAAATAATAATAAATAACTGGTGACAATTTCATTCTGTACCACTGGATGGCAAAACTGTTTTGTTCATAACTTTTTCTCTTGCTAGATATCACAGAAATTTAAACATTATTGAAATGAGAAATAATATCAGAAAAAAATGATGTACTCTTTGTTCAAGCCAATAAAGGTAACCGTTTACCAGGAAATCGCTATTAATATGTTATTAAACATCAAAGTTTTGATAATTCTTTTTTCTGTAATTAATCAAGTTGACATGCTTCAAATAAATATAATTAGTAATTTTGGTGTTGCGAGTTGTAATAAAAATTGTTTAAAGCAGGTATGTTTGATTTTTCACCATAATAAATTTTTTTCGGATCTGTAATAACGTTGTGGAAAAATAAGCTACAGATAATGAATTTACTAATAATATTTTATTTATTAACGAAGCTGGTTTTACAAGAGATGGTGTTACAGCATGGCAACTTGATTAATTGCAGAAAGAATAAAATTATCAAAAATTTGATGTTTAATAACACTTTAAGAGCGATTAATAGCGATTTCCGACGAAACGGTCATTTATCGACTTGAATTAAGGGTACATATTTTTTTTCTGATATTATTTTTCTCTTCAATAATGTTAAATTTCGATGATAAGTTATAAACAAAACAAATTTTGAGTTCTAGGTAAATTGCACTTTAGCGGCGCATAATAAATCTTTTCTCTGACTGGTCCAATAGAGCTGCATCTATTTAGTGAATATGCCAAATGAGAGACTAATCGCACTTAAATTAAATAAGTTATTTAAATATTATTATTATTATTATTATTATATTATTTAATATATAAAAAATTGAACTTTGACAAGCTGTAACTTGCAAACAATTGACAATTCGAAAAAAGTATCATTACATACTGTTACTATTTTAATCCTCCTCGCGAAGTTCCTGGTGGACTTTCAGAACACCCTGTATAATTACTGTTATAGCAACCATAATTTTTACATATCAGGCTATTTTGAAATATAAAATAATATTTTTTGAAGTGCTTGTAACTTCTGAACAAAAACGAATCGGACTATGTTCATATAAGAAAAAATGTTTGAAATTAACCCATCTGCCATCTATCAAAGTTTGCCATGGAGCTTGTGGAATACCCTGTATATTTACTAATACAAAAGTATCTATAAAATTGTCTTTATCACAATTAATGATATAATTATTCATTATTGTTATTATGATATAATGAAATTTGACAGAATCATGACTCATCATGTTCATTGTTCATGTTCCTTTTGTTAAATTACTCCAGGTAAGATTGTATAAAAAAGCTGAAATTTAGCTGACAAAAATGTATAAAAGGGAAACAGCTACAGTACAGACTGTGAATGTACACGTACTTTGATCTGTTTATTGCAACACTTCATGAAAAATAAAACTTTTATAATAAATAATAAAACAAAATCATATTGCCACCGTTTCCGCTCTGTGTAATGCAGTCGCTCGCAACTGCAACTTTTCTTTTTCTTTGTAGGTTTCCGAGCGGCGGTCATTGGAGCGATAGAATCAGCGACCCAGAGATGTCGTGAAGTGAGTAAAAACGCTGAAACGAAGTAATCCGAAAATAGATCGTCGGATGCACTGAGCTACAAAGTTTATTTTCATACATAAACTTAGTTTAAGTAAACATGTTTTATGGATTTGTAATATTGGATGATTGCACATATGGCCATATTAAGATATTGAGTTTCACTTGGTAAAATGATCCACGTTCCAGTATAGCTTTATCTGAAATATGAATCCATAACTAATGTTAATCCTTCAATATCATTGTAGATTGATATCTGATGTTCCTGCAATATTTTCTTGAGTATTTATTCTTTAGGTTTATTTAAAAGTTTTAGGTAGAAATAAATTTGTTCAGTAATTATAATAAATAAAGTAATAATAAAAATAATAAAAATATATTTTAAAATTGACTATTTATTTCGTAGTTTTATTAATTTTATTTTGTAGCTTGTAGTACAAATTTAAATGCGTATTCCGTAGCAAAAAAACCTTAGTTCTCCGAATATGAATAAGTACAAGTACTTACCTACAAGACACTCACGATGCATATCTACAAAGTACTGAGACTTGCTCTGTGGTTTTTGTTTTAGACAAAGTTGGCAACACTGCATGCAAGATCAAGGTGTTGGGAACAGAACGCGCCTTCATCTGTCTCGGTCTGTTCAGAACTGTTGTTGTAGTGACGTGTTGAAAATTACTGTCGCTTTTCCGAATCCCACCAAGTAAACAATTCCTGACTGTATTGTGACTGGCGAAACGTAGGTGGACCACTACACCCCTAAGATGAAAACACAATAAATTATAATCTTCATCAGCAAAAAAAAAATTCAAAACCGTTATTTCGGTCCGAAAAATCATGGCAACTGTGTTTTGGAACCGTAAAGGGATTTTCTTCATTGACTTTCTTCCCCAGGGGGAATAATTTATGCTGCGAGGTACTGTAAAACCCTAAAAACGCTACGGAGGGCGATACAGACCAAAAAAGGGAAATGTGCTTGTTGTTGTGACAATGCCACAAAGCAACTCTTGAATTCATTCATCATCAACCACCCGTTCACAGTCCGGACCAGGCACTTTTTGATTTCCATCTTTTCTCTTCTCTGAAGATGTTTATGGGTGAAAAAAGAGGTTTTCCTCCGATGATGAGGTATCAGAAAGCTCATCTCTCGGCTCACAAAGTACATTGAGATTGAGGCGACTACAGTGTAAAAAAATTCACTCAATTTTACTTAATAATGTATCAATTTCTGTCCACACCCGATTGAGTGAAATATTCACTCTATTAGTATGAGCACAACTAAAATTTTGTGAGTGAAACTAGTGCAACAGATGTGAGTGAATTTTACTCAAATCCGAGTATCTGTTAACTAGCAAGTGAGTTACTTTTGACTGTATTCTGAGTATGTAAAGCTAATTAAGAGTTGACTTTTCTCTAAATCTCTATTATTGAGTAATTTTTTACTCTATACTCTATACTCTTTACTTTACTATACTCACTCACATTTTACTCACGCTTGTTTATATTCTTTAATTTTAATTTAAAAATCATTGTATTAAAGTCATAAACTATTCAGCTGACATAGTGGTTTCTACAATCTGTTTTAGAAACAATATTTTAGGTCTCAATTAAAAGAAAAAGCGATGTCGAGTTATAAATGCATATTTTATGAACAAATAAATAGAAATATTTGATGAACATTATATTTTGTTAATTATTAGATATCAATGAATATTTATAGTAATTGTACAGTTATTACATTTAGTAACATTTATAAAATCTGTATAATTATTCCCCTCGCGTTTACTAATTGTCACATTTTTCTCAAAATAATTTGACCGCTCCATTTCAGTCACTGGAAGCTCAATATTATCTGACTGATCCATTAATACAGAGCATGATGCGACGTACTACTAGAACCTGGAGTTGAAGTGTCATTGTAAAAAATCCTGTTGGCTATTTCATTTTTGTTACTTGAACTGTCAGCAACATAACTTTCTGCAATTGTGGCTGATTTCCACTCACCAGGATCAACTCCTGTATTAGCCGGTAACGTTGTCGATGTTCTTTGGAATGAATGGCCTGTATATTTTCAGGATGTTCTAGTTTCAAAAACTGTGCAATCTTATTAGGAATCATAGAAAGGGTATTCTTGCCGACTGGTTGATTGTAACATTTACCTGCTTGATAGCGCATAAAAAAGCGTGAGATTTCAGTTTTAATTTCCAATTTAATCTTGATATATTTCTTGATAATTTCTAGGTGACAAACAGGACCCAGACGACAAGTAATTGTAAACGTACGTGACATACCATTTTTAGAAACTGGAATTGTAACTACAATAATGTCATCGAAATTTTTGAAATTGACGTTGTCCAAAGTAAGTTTGCATAATTCATCAGAACGGCATGCTCCTGCAATGCCTAAGACCGTCACTACCTTCATTGGCAAATATGTGTTTTCGGGTGCCTGAACGAGAAAATCGTTGACTTGTTCTCTTGTAAAAACGTTTGACGTTTTAGGTGTAGATATAACCGTCATACGTTTCAAAAATGTTCTCATTTTGGGGCATTTTGATATAACCACGTTCTTCTCTATGAAAATAGTTGACTTAATCATTGAGTATTCACTCCACAAACTCGCCGGTGATTTTAAAGTTCTTGACTTCTCCATGAAATATGCTAGCAGTAACATTTCAGGAACACCAGTAATTTTGTTCTGTCACCATTCTTTGAAATTTCTATATGCTCGTCCGTAGCGCACCTTCGACTTCTCGGGCAATAACAATTCGCAGGCAGCATTTGCTGCACTTTCTATTTGAAAATCACTCATTTAGAAATAATGAGTAATTTTGATGTAGCTTTGGTTATACACACCTTAGAAACGACAAAATCCAAATGACCAAGGCGACTTTGCAATATTTCGAATAATGTCAAAATGAATTGATTAAGAAATGTTAAAAAATAAAACCTAATCTTTATTTCATAAACCATACTGTGGGAGCAGATAAAATGTTATACACCACGCAGCAGTTAAGTATAATTTACCAGTCTCGAATTCTATTGCCAGCCCTCGCTCCGCTCGGGCGCAAAATCGTCCTCGACTGATAAATAATACTTACCTCCCTTATGGTGTAAATAACAATTGATGTACCTACCTTTCTGAATATTTAAATTTTTCATGAATAGTATGTACTACCGTTATGATATTTTTAAAATTGAGTACTCTTACTTTGTGAACATTCTTCGTAGATACAATAATAATAAAACAACAATAATTCTTATTAATGAAAACAGATTGTTAATTTCGATGTAATTTTCTCTAAAAATCCTGAGCTTAAAAGTTAAATATGTTCTTGTACAACAAATTACAGTAATAAACCTATCGCTTATCTTAATAAGTTTAATTAGTTTAAAACTGAATGAAAATAACAGCACGCATTAAAATTCCTCATTCATATTACCCGTTTCTATTTAATTAATAATAATTAGCTCCCGTCGTTCCATTTTATTGGAGATTTATTTCAGTGTATTAATAAGAAGAAGAATTACTGTAAAAGGAAGGTAAAAAATCTATCATGTCCAACGTGCCCATATCTGTAACACGCACTAATAGCTTTAATGGCAGTTAAGTCATGTCGTCATGTCTTTTGATAACATGACTTCAGAATGCTCCTAATAGAGACGTAATTTTATGTTTCAGTTGACATTGAGCGGACAGAAAAAGTAAATGAAATGTCCCGTTCTAGTTTTGCAATTACAAATTAAATCAGCTTAAAACTAGTACAATTTTGATTTCGAGGACGGTTTTTCTGATGGAATTATCGTCTAAGTGCAACACCGTCCCAGTGCATGCCGTGTCTTATTATCAACGGGTATTATCCACGGTTGGTTTTTCAATAATTATTTTAGATTAATTCATTTCTATGTTTTTGCTTGTTTGTGAAGGAAAATTTAAAAATAATAAGTTAAATATTTACTACTGTTAAACCATGGTAGTCTCCAAGGCGAATTACGAATTATTTTGCACTATTACCCACTGTACAGTTTACTATACAGGGCGTGTATAATCTGTAAAAATTAAAATACAGCTTCTCGACGATATTTGTAATAGAAAGTCATATACGAAAAAGTTCTATCTTTGCGTTTTTTTTTTGTAAATTTAAGTTCATTTATTCAAAGAAATTGAAGGCCGACCCTGTGTTATTTACTGAAAACTTTCGAAATGTTTTTATGCGACCCGAAAAGCGAACCGTCAGTATAATCTAATACTAGTAATACTAAAAGAAGGTTAGATTACATTTTTAAAAAAATTGTGAAGTCAACTCATTTTATATTTGTAGATATTGAATTCATCATTCCATCAGTGTTAAGAAGTGTAAGATTCCAGACAAAAGTTTTTATTTTGTAATTCTCCGATGTGACAGTGACAGTGTAATTTTTATAAAGAAGTAAAAAATAAGAATAGCATGCCGATTGTATTAAAAAAGAGATTCTTATTTCTTTTTCTCTCTTTTTTTTTAAGTTTGTGCACAAACTAGTTTTACAATGAACCGAGAAGACAAGGCATTTACTATTTCCGAACGTGTCGATATGGTGTTAGTGTATGGTGCAGCTGGAGAAAATGCACTCTTGGCAACTAGGTTGTACCGGGAACGATGGCCACAACATCATCCTCCATGTGCAAATACAATCCTACAGTGCGTTCAGGGGCTGCGAAACACTGGAAGTGTTATTCCTCGAGAAGAAGGAGGTGGTCAGCAAGTGAACCTTAATGTTGAAGATGCAGTGTTGGAAAATCTTGACGAGGACCCCACAATTAGTACTCGACGACTTGCACAGCAAGTGGGAACCTCCTCTCGTACTATACATCGTATCTTAAGGCGCCAGCTGTTACACCCGTGCTGATTTCCACAGCCGTGGCCATCTCGATCACCCGATCTAACTCCAATGGACTTTTATCTTTGAAGTCACTTGAAGTCATTGGTTTACAATACTCCAATTGGAAGAATTGCGAAACCGTATACTTGAAACTGCTGACACAATTAGGATAGACTTGGAATTTGAGAAAATTCACCCAAATTGGGTGCGTCGGTGCCATACCTGTATCCGCGCTAATGGAGATCAATTTCAACATTTTCTCTAGAAATGGTAAGTTTCATTTCATTTAGTTTCATATTTTAATGGAGTTTGTTTAGTGCACGCTGTTGGCAACTACAAATGCCTACGGTTGTGGTTTTGTTTGTGAACTCTTGCAGCAACAACAACGCATTTAAATTAGTAATTTTTAGCAGTTTTTTTTTAAATATCTATTTTTCTGAGTTTGTACTTTTGCATTGAAAAATTCCCCAAAAA